AGATAGATAGATAGATAGATAGATAGATAGATAGATAGATAGATAGATAGATAGATAGACAGACATACCTGTTTCTCTGACCATCTGTCCATCTGTCTATCTATCTATCTGTCTGTCTGTCTGTCTGTCTATCTATCTATCTATATATATATAATCTATCTATATAGAGAGTAGAATAGAACAACAGAGTTCAAATACTGCTTGTAACTCGCACTGGTTGTGTGGTTCTGGAAAAGTCATAGAACCTTTAGATGTTCCGGGTAGCTCTCTAAAAAACTTTCTCAGACTATCATTTACAGAGAAGATGCCACCCAGTTCTAGTACAAGGAATTTCCTTATCTGGGTGGCTCCTTATTCCAATGAAATCTCAGACCCAGTCCCTATTTCTAGGATTGAAGAGTTGGAGCTAGAAGAAAATTCAAAGACCATAAAAATCAAACTTCTTCATTTTATAGATGAGGAAACAGAGGCCAAGAGGTTAAGTGACTAGACCAGTCACACAGGGAGTAAATGATAGTCAGAATTTGAACTCGTGTCCTTGGACTCCAAATTCAGTGCCCTGCGCACAATGCCTGTTAGAGGGGAAATAATGGCATTCGTGGATTTTCTAAATCCTTATAATAATCAACCATGTAGGAGGGGTCAAGTAAATGAGCCTCTGTAAAAAGGATGACACTGGTAAATGAGGAGAACATTTTCATTTTTAAACAAGGAAAAATTCAACTAAGTAATGTTTTCTTCAACTTCCTTCAGCCCTTCACCTCCACACCAGCCCCATCCCTCTGGTAAACTATGTTCCTGTTGGTTAATCTGTCCAATTCTTTTATTATCACTCAAATGGTTGGGAAGTGAGCTGGGTCTATGTAAGTGGTGAGAACTGCTTAGACACAAGGGTATACCAAAGAATCATGCACCAGAGCATGCAATGAACTTTTACGTGTGTGTGTTGTGTGTTTAACTGAATTAAAGACATTGCTGCTTTGGAGCTTGGTCCTGAAGCTGGGGTGACCATAAGTGGTGACAAATCTAGGGTTTGGCCTTGTGGCTGTTTTTCTAGTGCCAGAGCCCTGGGCATCCTCCTGATGGGACCATTCACCTCCAGGTTCCATGGTTCTGTTGCATTCCATGGCTTTTGGGGGTGTAGGGATGGCTTGGTATCTTCACCAAGAAAGGTTAGTGGCTTAATTGGTGGAGCGCTGGACTTGGAATCAGTGAGGTCTGGGTTCAAGTCCTGACTTTGACACTTACTAGTTATGTGATTATGGGTAAATCACTTAGCATCTGAGCTTCAGTTTCTTCATCTGTAAATTGGGGATAATAATAACTGATAATTATACAGTGTTCAAGTTTGCCAAACGATGTGTGTGTATACATAAGTGTATATATACAAATGTATATATATACTATATACACATTTGTTATCTTATTTAAGCTGTAAAGTTTAAATTCCTCACCGCCCTGTAAGGTAATACTATAGGCATTATTATCCCCATTTTACAGATGAGGAAACTAAGACACAGAAAAGTTAAACGACTTGCTTAATATCGCTTAGCTGGTATGTGTCTGAGGCGGGCCAAATAATGCAGTGTGGTATACTGGGTAGTATACTGGACTTAAAAGTCAAGAAGGCCTAGGTTCAAACCTTTCCTCTTATATTTTTAGCCATGTGACCTTGGACCAACAATTTCTCTAAGCTTTCTGAATTTGGGCCTGTTTTATAAAGTTGTTCAGAAGCTCAAATGAGATAAGGAATGGAAAATGCTTTATAAACATAAAAGTGAGATGTAAACAAATATGTACCCATATGTATATATGTTTGTATATGTATGTATATGTGTGTATATGTACATATAATATATGTATAAATATCTGTTTTTAATCATGAAATTGACCTAGGTGGTATTTGTAATTACATTGGCAAAGTAGGTTCCCAGATAAGAGAAAGGATTTTTCCTTTTCTGTAATATTAATAGGAAGGAAACTTTCTATTGAGCATGAATCTGCACTCTTAGAAAGAATTCTTCTGGGCCTCCTGAGTTTGGGGTAGACAGCTTCCCTGGACCAAACTCCTTCCCAATTTCCCTTCTTGCTTTTGATTCAGTCATTAATGAATCACATTGGAATGGAGAAAAGAAAGGCCTGTGCTCAAAGTAGGCTTTGGTCACTGACTAGCTATATCACGTAGAAGTATAATTTCTCTGAGCATCAGTTTTCTCATCTGTGAACTGGGGATAATAATTGCCTCTACTCAAAGGGTTATTGTGAGGGTCAAATAAGAATGTATGTAAAATGCTCTCTAACTTTAAAACACTACATAAATATCTGTCATTATTAATAATCACAATGTCTTATAATAAAGTAATAACCTTCAACAGTAATAAGTGGTAACACCTCCTCCCACTCCCCAGCCCCCTTCACCAAAGCATTTACTTGGAAGGCATTCAGTAGGGTGAATACAATGTGGAACACAGCACTGCTTCCCTGGAACACGGTGGCCAATCCAAACCCCCAGGTGAGTCCTAGGAGGGGAGTGAGGACACCAATACTCTTGCTGATCTGAAACAGACTGTTCTTTTCCTGAATGCTTGGCTTGTCCCCAATGGAGGGCCTCAGGATTTTGGTGATGACCACAAACGTTATGGTCACATTTATGACCACAATGATCAGTGCAGGAATCACAAAAGCCAGGAGGGCCTTGGTGTCATCCCAGTTGAGCCAGCAGGCATTTTTCCTCATGTACACATCCTTTGGCTGGGTCACCCCCACTGTGATGATGGAGATGACCAGTGGGCAGCCATAGCCAAGGGAGAAGGCAATCACCTTCTGGATAGACTTGCTCGTGTCATGGAGGATGAAGACCAAGCGGTAGAAAAGCATGAGGCCCAGGGTCAACATCCAGAAGAAGACACTGAGGTAAAAGAAGTGGATGAAGAAGGTGGCAGCCACACAAGCTGTTTCACTGAATAGGTAGCGCTGGTCATGAATGGCAGCAGATACAATGAACCAGGAATCAGCAATCAGGAGGGAGGCCGCAATGTTTACAATACAAACATGGCGCATGTAAGAGGTGCGGTTTTTGGTCACTGATTTCCAGACAAAAGCTTCAACAACAAGACAGGCTGCTAGACTCAAGATGGAAAAGCCTAGGCCAATATAAGAAATAACATCCAGCAGTATTTTTAGGAGGGAGTTGGGGTCAGGAGAATCAGGGGACATTAGGATGGAAAATGAGGTTAAGTGATTACAGGTACAGAAGACACTGTCCTCTTTCATTTGTTCAACAAAACACCCACTGTTGTCCCATCCCCCCGTGTAGTTGGAGAGGTGATAGTTCCAGAAGACACACTGGGGTGCCACCAATGACAGGTCATTTTTCTTAAACTTCATTGAAATCTTGAACTGTTTTGTCACACCCTGGCTCACGGTGGTTGTCATCACCAAACCATTCACGAAGTTCTTGTCCTGGACACTCTGGGGCAGGATAGCTTTTAGCGTTGGGTATGCCAGGGTGATGATGGATGAATTTGGCTCCAAGCTTTCTATCTGATGCCTGTCGATGACTACCTGGCCCCAGAGATTGGAATCGGGAAAGAGAAAGTGCTGGTCATAGTCGGTCATGTGTGTGGCTGTAGTCATGAGGCCCCTCATTTGCACATTGGGGTGGATGATGAAAGGAACGACACTGACTCTCTCGTGCAGCGCTCTGGAGAATCTCTCCACAGAATCCAGTAACCGAGAGCTCTCGTTGGCCTGTTGCTGATGCAGAACTTGCCACGTATTCAGTATGGGTTTGTCAAGGATGACATTGACTGTAGAAAGCACATGCTGTAAGAGAGATAGCCCAACACGATAGAATGTAAGCTCCTTAAAGTCAGACATTGTTTAGTTTTTGAATTAGTATCCTCAATGCCCAGTACAGTGCATAGGTCCTCAACAAATACTTCAATTCAAATGAATACACAGTTAGGAAGAAGTAGAACATTATACTAGAACCAGAGTTCATAACTTTTTTGTTTGTCATGGACACCTTTGGCAGGCTAGAGAAGCCTTTGGACCCCTTCTCAGAATGATGCTTTGAAATGCAAAATAAAGTTTATAAGATTACATAAAAAATCAATTACATTGGAATAAAGATTTAATTTTTTCCATTTTGAGCTCACAGACACCCTGAAATCTATCCACAGATTTTTTGAGGGTCCATGGACACCAGGTTAAGAACCCAGGTTAAGACAAATTTGCCAATTTTGTCAATGTCAAATTTTGAGTCAACGATGGGGGAGAAAAAGAAAATGAAGGTAGAAAAAATAATGTAGAATTAGAAGATTAGAGCTAAAACACCCCACCATGAGCAGCAGGACTGGCTGGCAAAGTCCCTTGATAACTATTCCTCTCCCCTCCTCTTAGGTCTTTTAAGTTCTCTTTACCTCAAGTATGAGGAGAATAAGAAAACCAGATGGCTCTAGTGATGCTCCTTGCTCCCCTGATCATGACCTCTGCCCTTTTCCCTGTGATATTCAAACATAACACTTTGTCTTTGCAAAGCTCTTATCACTCATTACAAGTACCCGATCTCCAACATCTTTGCATAGACTGTCTTGCCATGGTTGATTATCTGTTTGCCTCAATTCCACATCATAATAGGTGGCACAGTGGTTAGAGGATTGGACTCTGGGAATCAGAAAAACTAGAGTTCAAATCCTGCCTCAGACAATTATCATCTGTGTGCCCCTAGGCAAATCAATTTCTTTGTGCCTCAGTTTCTTCATTTGTAAAATGGGGAGAATAATAGCACCTACTTCCTAAGGTTGTTGTGAAAATCAAATGAGATAATAATTGTAAAGCACTTAGCATACTTTGCTATTCTGCCATTTCACTCGTGTCTGACTTCATGAACCCATTCGGGGTTTTCTTAGTAAAGATACTGGAGCAGTTTCCCATTTCCTTTTCCAGCTCATTTTACTGGTGAGGAAACTGAGGCAAACAGGGATAAGTGACTTGTCTAGGGTCACACAGCTATTAAGTGTTTGAGGCCAGATTTGAACTCAGGAAGATGAGTCTTCCTGACTCCAAGCCTGGCATTCTATCTATCTAGCTGCCCTTAGCACAGTGCCTGGCATATAATAGATACTATATAAATACTGGTTATGAATTATTATTTTATTAATTATTAACTAATAAATATTAATTATTATAATTATTATTACCTCCCAGGGTTGGTATGAGGATCAAATGAAATAATATCAATAAAGTGCTTTACAAACTTTAAATAACTATGTAAATTCTATTGTTATTATTATTATTACCATCATCATCATTATCTTAGAATCCTTAGCTTCTTTCAAAGCTCAGCCCTGGTATCTCCCTCCTATGGAAAACCCACCCTGACTCTTAGACATTAGCACTCTCACTAGTCTCAAATTATCTCCTATTTACTTCTCTGTTTCTATGTTGTATCCTCCAGTTAAAAGGAAGCTATTTTGGGAACAGAAAATTTTTGTCTGTTTATCTTTGTAGCCATCTACAGTATCTAGCATGGTGTCAGGCTTATAGCAGAGGCTTAACAAATGGTTACTGAATTAAAATGACTTGTAGAAGCTTTTCATTCAATATGGCTCATGTTTTTGGGAAGTGGTCATGCTTCTTACTATTTTCTGATACAGAGACGGGCAGGTGCCAAAGTGAATTTGAGAAAAGTTACCAGAAGTCCAAAAGACTTGGAACACTAGAGCCGCAATCGGCAGTCCATGCATTGGATTTGACCAACGTCACCTGTAGCATGACCTTGGCAATGACCAACTGACCAAGAAACTGCCCTAGCACCGCACTGTCCCATGGTGGTATCTCCAGAGAAGATTTGTTACAAAAATGAAAAAAAGGATGCTGAGCTAATCATAGAATCATAAAACGAGAGCTAGAAAGGATATCAGACATCATCTATTCCAACTCCCTTCCTTTACAGATGAAGAAACTGAAGCACATGGAATAGAAATGACTTTTCCAAGGCCTCACTGGTGATAAGCAGCACAGATGGTATTTAAACCCAGGAGCCTGGAGTTCGTTTCTCTGTACCACATTGCTTCCTAATCGATGGGAGCATGTCGTATGGATTAGAGACATGAAATCCAAACAACGCTCTTAAAGTTTGGGAGTATAACTTACTGTCATCATATCTGTATTCACTTGGGTTGGGACCGTTGACAGCAACTCCAGGATGGTAATGATGGCTTTCAGGTTTCCAGGTGATGATTTGATCTCATTTTGTACCTTCCCAGTACGACTGGACAGATCCTGAAGGTATGTTAATAGCTTCTCTTCTTGTTTAGGGCTCATAACCAGAGCCTATGTGAGAAAATTCACCAGTTAGTGAACAAGTTGTATTTCTCCACAAAGCTTCTCAAATCCATCCCTCTGTCTAACCTTCCCACTACTACCAACCCTGGCTCATATCCTTATTGTATCATACTTAGGTTACTGAACTAGTTTCCTAACTGGCTCACTCTGCTTCCAGTTTTACCCTACATCCCTCCAATATGTCATGCTGATTAACCTTCTAAAAGCACTGCTTGGATCATGTCCATTAATGGCTCCCTATTATCAAAACAGATGTTCTTAACATTTTTTGGATCATAAACCCCATTGGTTGTCTGGTGAAGTCTATGGACCTCTTCTCAAAATAATGTTTTCAAATACCTAAAATAAAATACATAGGACCACAAATGAAACCAATTATATTGCAATACTATTATCACAATATTTTTTAAAAAATCAAGTTCGTGGACTTCAGGTTAAGAATTTCTGGTCTACAGACTATGTTCAAAGTTCTTACCCTGGCATTCAAGGCCCTCTACAATCTCTCTTACCAACTTTTCCAGACATATCTCTAATTGCTCTCCACTTCAACCAAAATGTTGTGCTCATTGTCTGGGAACTCTCTGTTACATTTTCAATTCTTTTTTTGCTCATGCCTTGTCCTTGACTGGAATCCATCCAAAGTCCTTATTTTTTTGAAATTCAGCCCAAATGCTTTCTTCTCGTGAAGCCTTCCCAGATATCTTTTGCACAGTGATAATCGTTTTTTAGTGAAATTCTATTATGAACTTCTTTATGAGATTTTTACATTGTTGTACTTATTTGTTACTCATCTCTGACATTACTGATTTTTTTTTATGTTTAATCTTATTTGAACTAAAAACTTCCTGAGGGCAGGGGAAATAGCTTCCATTTCTTTCCTTTCCCCATGTTACCTAGTAGACTGCCTTACACAAAGCTGGAGCTCAACAAATATTTGTTGATTGATTGACTTATCTCTTTGGTTGCAAGGAATAATTTTCTTTTCTTTTTGTCTTGGTAAGAAATAATTATGTTAGTGGTGTGGGCAGCTTCTGATGAGTAAATTTCCTCTATCAATGTAAACAGCATCTGCTCTAGAATTTAGAGTTTTAGGAAATATTCTAGGATCACAGAGAGATTAAATGAACTGTCCAAGGTCAAACAGTTAGCATGTGACAGAGTTGGGTTTGAACACAGAGTCCAATTTGGTCCTCTATACATTATGCCACACTGTCTCTCCAATAACAAGAATAGTAGTGCTCAATCAAGAAGCATTTATTAAACCTCTGTTATATGCCAAGCACTGTACTTGGTACTGAAAATACATAGGCAATAGTCCCTGCCCTCAAGGAGCTTACATTCTATGGGGGAGGCAACATGCATATTTATAGGGATATATGTACAAGATATTTTTGATGAGGGAACTGGTAGCTGGGGGAGATCAGGAAAGGTCTCACATGGAAAAACATGCTTGAACTGAGTCTTGAAGGAGACTTGGGATTGTTTGAGATGGAAATAAAAAGGGAGCATTGTCCAGGCATGGGAGACAGTTAGTGGAGATGGGAAATGGAGTGTCATGTGTGAGGACCCAAGAGAAGGCCAATTTGACTAAACTGTAGAGTGCATGAAGGAGATATAAACTCCTTTGCCTGTAGAAATTTTAATTTTTTGCACTTAAGAGAGTATTTTTCACTCTTATTGTGTAAAAATGGTTTCATTAATTATAAAATTCACTAATTATAAAACTTGCATTAATTATAAACATTTGCTTTCAGTAGGTCCTGTTATCAGTGGCAACATATCTACAGAATATTGCAGTACTAGTTTGGAGAGGGTTGAAATCACTTCATGTTGTGATCTCGAATTTCATATACAGTATTTTTTATACACAGTATATTCCACCCATTTTATTATTTAAAATTTTTTAAATTCTTCATACTTATATCTCTAGCACCTAACAGCGCCTGGCATATAGTAGGTGCTTAATAGATGCTTTTAATTGATTGTTTGGGTTGTGGTTGTTCAGTCGTTTCAGTTGTATCCTACTCTTTGTGACCCTATTTGGGATTTTCTTGTCAAAGATGCTGGAATGGTTTGCCATTTCCATCTCCAGCTTATTTTACATATGAGGAAACTGAGGTAAACAGGGTTAAGTGACTTGCCCAGGGTCATGCAGCTACTAAGTGTCTGAGACTGGATTTGAACTCAGGTCTCCCTGACTCCAGGCCCAGCACTCTATCCACTGTAACACCCAGATGCACATAATTGTTAGGTAGTGTGTATTTAGGCTGGAAAGGCAGAGTGATAATAGTTCATCAAGGGCTGTAAATCTCAGAGGACTTTATTTTTAATAATAGAGTAATAAAGAGCCATTGGAGCTTATCAGGAAGAAGTCCCATGATCAGACCTGTGTTTTGGGAAAGTTTTCTTTGACAGCTGTGTGGAAGATGCATTACAGAGGAGAAAGACTTGTGACAGAGAGTTCAGTTAGGAGAAGGTTGCAATAATCTGAGCAAGAAAAGTCAAGGGCTCAAACTAGGGTAATGGATGTGTACATGGGAGGAAGTAGACAGGTGCAGCAGCAGCAACTTGTAAATGGTAACGGACCAATGTTGGAGTCAGGAATTAAATTAAATTAAATTGATATTTTGTGTCTGATACTATACAAGTCAATTAATCTAGGTGGCACAGTGGATAGAGCACTGGGCTTAGAGTCCTGATGACTCATCTTCGTGAGTTCAAATCCAGTCTCAGATACTTCCGAGCTGTATGACTCTGGGCTAATCACTTAATCCTGTTTTCCTCAGTTTCCTCATCTGTCAAATGAGCTAGAGAAGGAAAGGGCAAACCACTCCAGTATCTTTGCCAAGAAAACCCCAAATAGGGTCACAGTCAGACATGACTGAAACTCCTGAACAACAATAAAACTTCAGAAGATTTGAGAATGCTTTAAGTTGCAGAGTAGTTGCTGATCTGCATTATTGGAAGGAGTTTCTTCATCTGGAGTTCCTTTTCCTATGGAATTAATATTGATGAAATTATAGCTTTGGCCAAAATAAGTATAATAGCTAGTGCTCATACAGTGCTTCAAGGTTTGCAAAGCACTTTATACACACACACACACACACACACACACACACACAAGCACACAGATATATAAAATTTCATTTGATCCTCACAAACAGTCCTGGAAGGTACTACCTATACCTATAATCCCTATTTTACAGATGAGGAAACTGAGGCTCAGAGTTATTTTCTAGCAATCACACAGCTAACATATAACAGAGGTCAGATTCCAGCCCATGACTCTCTGCTTCCAAGGAGAGCATTCTTTTTACTATAAAAATTCATGCTGACATGTCTGCCTAGGAGTAATTTTATTAAGATTGTCTTGAGCTGTCTATATAGATGAATTCCGAGAGGCACTTTTCTTTATTTCTCCCCAAAACTGGAAGAGGTAGTAGGTCTAGAGCACACTTGTGATAAAAAGAAGCTTCCCTGGCAGAGGACTTATCTTTGGGGACATATCAGGAATGAATTTGATTAGATTTGAAAGAAGCAGCATTGAGTTAATTGAAGTGAGGGATTTTATCCCATGGGATTTGTACTTGGTAGAAAGGCCACATAAACAGCCTGAGAAATATTTCGAGGTCACTCCACAAATGAGCCTCTCCTCTCCTAAGCCAGCCCTCTAATGGGTCACATTGATTTATATTAGGGTTTTTTTTTTGTATTTTAAATGTTATCTATCCTCCAGATTTTTTAAAGGCAAAGTTTTTGAGCCCCATAAACTAAAAGATAATCCATTCTTCTGATGGCATGATGAAAATAGAAAGAAAGGTCTCATGTGCACCAAAATATTTATAGTAGCCTATTCTGTAATCATAAAGAATTGTAAACAAAGGAGACACCCATAGTCTGAAGAATGATTAATCACACTATGGCCTATGAATACAATTGAAATGGCTGCACCATAATAAATGAGGATTACAGAGACATATGAAAAGACTTATATAAACTGATGCAAAGTGAAGTAAGAAGAACCTGGAATATAATACATCATGGCTACTGCAATGGAAGCCAAAAAACCTACAAGAACAAAATAATGCTGTGTAATTATAATGATGAAAATTGATCACAGAAAGAGATTAAAAAAATGTACCTCCCTCCCTTCTTTGCAGGGGTGGGGAACTATATGGAGCACTGCATATACTATTGCAATTGGTGGATGTGTTGGTTAATTTTGCTGAATGGCTTTTTCCTTTCTTTCTCTCTCTCTCTCTCATTCCTTGTTACAGTTTATGATTCTGGGTAGCAGAGGTAAAGAGATATATTTGAAACTATAGGTAATATTGAAACAAAAATTATCAATAAAAATTGAACAAAAAGAAGGATGAATCAGGCAGATTCTCTTCCCTCCAGGGAACTTTTGCCAAGGCTTCTCTAGATATAGTCAGAGAGTAACTATTATATTTATATATGTAATATTTTTAATATATAATATATCATATATAATATCACATATCTAATATATCATATAAGCATATAATATATATATAAAAATTGGAATCATATATACACATGTGAATATTATATGTTATGGGGGTATTATATATAACATGGGAATATTATACATACAATATGGATTATATATAATTAATTTATAATATAACATGACATAATCACAAATAATCATATGTAATTATATCATTTGTGACTATATAATAACAAATAATTATAAATGTAATAATTATATATAATGCATATAACATGGGTATTATATATGTGTATGTATGTATGTATGTTTTTACATTTGGGAATTACCTTTGTCAAGTCAAGCAGATTATTGATTGGTGCAGCAATGCAATTGTTGTTCTTTACTTTCCATGTGGAGCCTTCGCATATGTAAGTGATGGTTCCACCCATTCCATGGTCCAACTTGTTACGGATGTTTGAAAACTGGCACAGTTTCTGAATCATTTTCCCTGGCTCGCCATTGCCTATGATGGGATCTTGGCATGTGATATTCTCCTCTGCAGGGGAAAGAAAATGAAGTCTTGGGAAAAAAGGAGTAGACACTGGGAATGGTCTTTGGTAAAGTAGTAATATTTGTCAATTCATTTCAATTCCATTCAATAAGTATTTACTCTCTTCTCATCTTTTCCTTTTAGAATCCTCATCTTTCTTCAAACTCCAATCCATTTTAAGAGTGTTGGTCCTGAAGTCAGGAAGACTCACCTTCCTGAGTTCAAATCTGTACTAGCTGTGTGACTCTGGACAAGTCACTTAGCCCTGTTTGCCTCAGTTTCCTCAGCTGTAAAATGAGTTGGAGAAGGAAATGCAAACCACTCCAGTACCTTTGCCAGGAAAACCCTGGCAAATGGGGAAGTTGGACATGAAGAGATGGACACAACTGAAGTGACTGAACAACAACAATAACAACAAATGTGTAAGGCACTGTGCTGGGCACTAGGGTTTCATCATTGGAATTTTTAGTATGACTAGGAAAGGTCTGAGTGCTCCTTTGGTCCTCCCTCTGTTCTTGTCGGAGAGTGGAGTCAGGACCAAGAGTGCACTCAGAGCTTGCTATGTCCTGCCAAAGTGGTTCTCCTAGTGCTGGACTACCGTATAGATGGAAGCAGTGCCATAGCTCTCATGCGGTCCAACAGAAACAAGAAGGGTAGCTGGATGGTACAGTGAATAGAGTTCTAGGTCTGGAGTCAGGAAGACCCAAGTTCAAATCCAACTTCAGAAACTTGCTAGCCCTGTGATCCTGGGCAAGTTACTTATGTCTGCCTCAGTTCCTTCAACTATAAAATGAGGATCATAATAACATCTACCTCCCAGGGCTGTTGTGAGGATCAAATGAGATAATATTTATAAAACACTTGGCAAACCTTAAAGTGCTATATGAATTCTAGCTATTACTAACTCTAAACATGGCCTTCATTACAAAGACAAAACCAAACCAAAACATAAATTGGCTCAGGTATGTCATCTTATGTGAATCTCTTCCTGATCCCTATACTTGTTAATGCTCTCTCTGTCTCTCTGTGTCTGTGTCTCTCTGTCTCTGTCTCTATCTCTCTCACTCTCCCTTTCCTTCCCTACCTTTCTCTCTGTCTCCTCCATTCCATGTCTCTCCCTCTCTCTGTCTCTCTAGCTCTGTCACTATTTCTCTCCTTTCCTCCCCCCCTTTCTATACCTCTGCTCTCTGTCTTCTCTCTCTCCCTGCTTTTGTGTCTCTGTTTTTCTTTCTCTCTTGCTCCTAAAGTTATTTTGTATTTCCATGTCTGGGGGTTTGTTTTATTTCTAGAGGGATGTAAGTTCCTAGACAGCAAAGACTTCTTAATTTTTGTGTTTGTATCCTCAGTGTATTGCATATAGAAGATACTTCATAAATGTCTGAAACTGAGTTGAGATGAATAATAACAAAATCCTTGTCCTCAAGGAACTGAAATATAATGGGAGATAAGACACATATGCAAAATCAGTATAAGTAGAATGCAAAAAAAAGGGAAAAGAGAGGGGGTCTAAACAAAGTGTTGTAAAAAAAATGGGGACAGATAGGTGGTGCAGTGGATAGGGCTCCAACCCTGGAGTCAGGAGGACAGTGGGCAGATCAAAGAAGGTTTCATGGAGAAGTTGGACTCAGAGCTGGGTTTCAAAAGGAAGGAATCGAATGGTCAAAAACGTGGAGGGAGGCATTCTTTTCCTTTGTGGTTTTGTTTTATTGCTTCTTTCTCGTAGTTCCTCCCATTAATTCTAATTGTTCTTTACATCATGATTCATGGGCAAATATGCTTAAGATGAATGTAGATGTAGAGCCTATATCAGACTGTATGTCCTCTTGGCGGGAGGAAAGAAGTGGGAAGGGAGAAAACTGAAAACTCAAAATCTTATGGAAGTGAATGTTCAAAACTAAAAACAAATAAATTAATTATTAAGAAAAAATGTGGAGAGCCCGCGGGGAGTCACCAGGCGTGGGGTCCCAGACCTCGAGGGGCCCTGGGGCTCCTCTGAAGCTAGTCCGGCCCGCAACCTCTCCCACTCCGGGAGACACTCACCACAGGCCGCGACTCCGATGAAATGCTTCCTGTGCGCCGGCATCTCCCGCAGGAAGTGACGCAAACACGCAGGGAAGCCACGGCTCTGAGGAGGGAAACCCCGGGCTGGGGTTGGAGGCCCGGAGCTCTCTCTCAGCCCGCTGAGTCTTCCAGGAGGAGCAGGGCACGAGTGGCCCCGGGGCAGCAGGAGAGGTCAAGGGGGCGCCGGCACCAGCTGGGACCGCAGGGACGACGGAAGGCTTTGGTTTGGCCTGGGCTGTGTTTTTGGAAAACGATGTCGAGGAAAAGCCGAGGATCAAAGAGGGGCCGGGCCTTGTCTGGGGTCCGTGGGACGAGGATCACGGACACGGGCAGAAGGCAGAGCTGAGCCGTGCTCGCTTTGCGTCTGGTTCCTCTGTCAAGGAGACTGGCCCGAGGGAAACCAGGAGAGGTGGAGAGCGTGTAGCTGTGCCTGGGGAATGCCCGTCGTCCGGTAGATGGGCTCAGTAAAACCAAGAGCTAGCGTTTAGGTGGAGCTTACTGTGTTACAGGCACGGCTGAGTGCATTACAAGGACTATCTCGTCTGGTCTTCACAGCAATCTGGGAAGCAGGTGCTGTTATATAGACACTATTTTATAGGTGTGGAAACTAGGGTGAAGTGACTTGCCCAGGGTCACACACTTGCTAGTGCCTGAACTTGGATTTGAACTCGGGTCTTCCTGATACCACATCCAGAACTCTGTCCACAGCGTAGAGAAACTCTAAGGGTCTTCCCCTCCCAGACTGATTCTTTCGTGAAGGCAAACTAGTCCATTTTTTGCCTCCATTCTAACCTAGCCTTTAGTTACTTAATGGGTGTTGCTTCAGATAAACAGACTGGAAGACCTTAAAGCAAATTCACTTCCAAGTCATGATAAATCACCCTCCTGATGTCATTCGTCAAGTAGTCAGATTTACAAAATATATTCTGTTAAATGTATTTTATGGCATCAGCTCATAATTTTACTATGGATTTTTATTTTCACCAAGATGGGGGGGAATAATTAAAATGTCTTCTCACTTCTCACATCCTTTTCTCATGCATGACTATCAAGTAGAAATTATAAAAGATAAGTGTTTACTTACCTCTTAAGCGATAAACAGGTATTTATTTCTTTATTGTTTCCCTAGGTCAGAGAAAATGTTTTTTCTAAAAATTGCAGGGTTTTTTTTTAATTTGTTAAAAGATTTATCCCCATTCCATATAATGCTTGCTGATGGTTTTTGATGATGGAGACATCATTTTAAGGAAGACTCCATTTGTTTCTATGCTCTTCAGTGTGTTTTATTAGGAATGGGTGTTATTTTTTGTCAAATGCTTTTTCTGCATCTATTAAGAGAATCGTGATTTCTCTTATGTCTGTATCCCAAAGAGATTGTAAAAACGGCCAAAGGACCCATATGTACAAAAATATTTATGGCAGCTCTTTCTGTGGTGGCCAAGAATTGGAAATTAAGGGGATGCGCATCAATTTGGGAATGGCTGAACAAGTTGTGGTGTATGAATGTAATGGAATACTATTGTGCTATAAGAAATGCAGGCAGACTTCAGAAAAACCTGGAAAGACTTATATGAACTGATGCTAAATGAAATGAGCAGAACCAGGAGAACATTGCCCACATTAACAAGCACACTGTGTGATGACTTTGATAGACTTGGCTCTTCACAGCAATGCAAGGATCTAAGATGACTCCAAAAGACTCATGATGGAAAATGCTATCCACATCCAGAGAAAGAACTATGGAGTCTGAATGCAGATCAAAGCATACTATTTGCTCCCCTTTTCTTTTGTTGTTTTGTTTTATTACTTCATTTTCGTGGTTCCTCCCATTAGTTCTAATTGTTCTTTACATTATAACTAATGGGATAATATGCTTAATATGAATGTATAAGCAGGGCCTATATAAGATTGCACATTATTTTAGAGTGGAGGTGGGGGGAAGCAAAGGGTGGGGGAGAAAATTTAAAACAGAAAATCTTATGGAAGTGAATGTTGAAAACTAAAAATAGATAAATTATGAAAACAAAAGGTTTATCCACCCAAAACAGAAACCTCTGGTTCCTTTGCTGCATTTAGTGATTCTTAGAAATAAAACTCCTTCACTTCCAAAACAAAAAAAAATATGGAGGGAGAATATTGCAGTCATGGGGGAGGGGCAAGTAGAGACAGTCTGTGCTAAAGCATGGTTGCAGAAGAGGGTAGGAGGGAAGCAGAAGATGGGTCATTGTGCTGTATGGCTGATCTTTGTTGAAATGAAGGAAACTGAAAAGTACCTGTCAGAGAGGTAGGAAGAGAATGAGGAAAGAGTGGAGTGTGATAGAAACAAAGGGAGAAAATAGCATCAAGGAAGTGGGTGGGTGTGGTCAGCAGTGTCACCTGAAGCAGAAACATTAAAGTTTGTCGAAAGGCCATTGGATGTGGCAGTTGGTTAACAGGTCACTGGAAATGAGAGAGAGAGAGGTAGAGGGAGAGACAGCAGCTTTAGTAATGGGGATGAAAGCCAGAATACAAGGGGTTGGTGGATAGTAAGGAAGTAGAGACAATGACTGTAAATTGCTGTTTCTAGAAAATTAGTTTGTAGGCATAAAAGAGAAATTATGCATCTCTCTATATTTGCCCATATAATTAAAAACAATGTAACAAAAGTTCATAGTTTCTTAGTAAAAGTCTCTTTTATGCTCTTCTTTGTATCTTGAAATGTTTGCATTTGTTGATAATTGTTAAGTTCATAATAAAAAAATAAAATTTAATTTTACAAGATTTAAGACTCCAGACTTAGAACTGGAAATGACCTTAGAAGTCATTCCCTTTAATTGCTTCATTTTTGGAAGAAGAAACCGAAACCTAGAAAGGAGAACGGGTTTGCCCAACATCGTGAAGGGAGTGAGTGGTAAATCTAGAATTTAATTGTCTATAGAATTTAATAGTCTATTGTCTTTAAAGCAGGTGATCCTTCTATTAGAGTGCTGTCACTCAGAAAAGGATCAATTGGAAATGAAAGAATTAAGATAAAGAAACAGGAAATTATCAATGAAGCAAATATGTAGAGGAGACTGGAGGGGATGAAAGACGTTGGCTTTGTCAAGGATAAAGGTTACTTTATTTTTTAAGATAGGAAGGAAGGTTGAGAGGATGGGAAAAGACATAGAAATCTTAAAGAAATCTTAGGCTCAGAGAAATTAAATGACTTGTCCAAGATCTCACAGACTACAAAAGCAAGATCTGAACTCAGGACCTCTAACTTCAAATCCAACATTTTTTCCACTGTACCATGTTTTCTACTCTCTACTCCCATCCCAAAAGACTGAAAAAAAAAAAGGATAATTCTAAGAAGACTGACTTAGTAATGACTTCACTAATAGAGGGTGGAGAGAATGGTTACATACTACCTTCAGTTGGGATGGGATTTGGGGAAAAAGTCATCTATTATCTGAATACCAGATGATTTTCTATAGCCCTGCTCCAGCGTCGGAATAATTGGGAAGGTAGGTAGGTTGCTTTGTTCACCAAAAAAGTCTTCCATCAATAGAATGCTTCAGCTCAGAACTAGCTTACATTCATTCACTCATTCACCCATTCATTCATCCATCCATTGATCAATCATTTGTTAAGTGCCCGCCACATACAACATACTATCCTGGGCAACAAGGGGGGTAAAAGGTTAGAAAATCAGCAGTTAATGCCCTTTGGAATGAAGTCCCAGCAGCATTATGGAAGTGACAAGACGTTGAGTCCAGGTGACCTGGCTGCAGTGTGGGAGAGGAACAAAAAGGGTTCTTACCAGGAACAAGGCGAAGAGTGACCGGTGCACTCTGGACCGATTTGTTGACCGAGTTGACGAAGATACAAGATGCCTGAACTGTTTTGGAGCACCAAGCAGTTGTGTTTGCCATTAAACTGTATTTATAGCAGGCTCGATTTTCTTGAGCTTCTTTTACTAAAGAAAAGGAGATTTACAGAGGTTCACAGTGCAGCCTTGAATATGGAAGGTGTTTATTCCTCTTTAACAAGGGCCAGATGGGTGGGATTTGGCCAAAACCTTTGCTTTAATGAGGCCGTTCTCTTCACCATCCCAGGAATATGCTGATTATTTACTCCAAACCTTAACTTCTACTATCTCTCCTACCCCAATGATTCTCTCTGTCCTTTTAACTTAATTGAATCTCTCTTTTTTTTAAAATTGGGTTGGAGTTTTGGACTGATGATTTCATTGGTGGTGGAAACTCCTGTTGGCAGAAACGCCTTCTACAAAAGTGTGTCAGCAGCTCATCAGGTATAGTGGAAAGAGTACTGGCTCTAAAGTTAAAGGATCTGGGTTTGAATCCTGCTTCTGATGCCTATGTAACCGTGGGCAAGTCACATAACACTCCTGGGCCTCAGTTTCCTCATCTGTAAAATGGGGGTGCCATTACAGCTCTAGAGCTATTACTTAAAAGTCAGAAAGTTGCCTGGGACACTAAGAGATTAACAAATTTGTATGTGATCATGCAGCTACTGTGTTTAAGAGATAGATCTTAAACTTAGGTCTTGACTCCAAGCCTGGCCTGCTATTTATGGTGCCATGTTTAAAGGGTCTGTTAATCCCCACTTCCTACATGAGGCCTTTCTTGACTGCTCAGGCCCACATTGATATCCCTGACCTTTGAAGTTAAAAAACATTTATTTTCTATATTATAGGCAGCTAGGTGGTAAAGTGTAAAGAGTACTGGGCCTAGGGTTGGAAAGACCAAGTTCAGATCCAGCCTCAGACACTTAGCTGTGTGACCCTGGGCAAGTCACTTAACCACTCTCTGCCTCTCCTCATCTGGAAAATGAGGACAATAATGACACCTAACTCCCAGTGTTACTGTGAGGATAAAATGAGATAATATTTGAAAATAATTTCACTTTTATTATTATATAATTTATTATAATTGTATTATATATTATTATATTGATATATTATACATTGTTATATAATTATAATTTATTATTATAATAATTTGTTATTAATAATTATAATTGGTTGATCATCATTATTAGTTACATTATTATTGTTACTTAACTCACACATATTTGTATTATTTCTTAACTATTCTATACGTATACATCTTGTTCTCCAAATGGATTTTAAACTCTGAATCTCAAGCTTCTTTATAGCCTCTTTAATCAAATGGGGAGACATGAAAGCCACTTGAAAGTGAGGATTGTTTCATTTTTTGCCTTTGCATCCTAAGCATCAAGCACTATCTGGCATATAGGAAGAGCTAAATCAATGCTTGTTGATTGAATGAGAAATGCGTAGTAATTGTTTTCTAAATACTTAGTGAATAAATAAATGAACTTCCTGAAGATCTGAGAGACTTTTCCATTAGGAATTTTTAGAAATATGAGATTTTAGAACTTACAGGATGCGAGAGGTTATCCAGCCCAACCCCCATCATTTTATAGATTGACCTAAATTGATTCTTACTTTGCAGGGAAATCGCACTATGCCCCATGAGCCTCCAACACGACAAAGATTTGCATACAGATGAGACAGAGGGATGCAGAGATGACCATCAGTGAAATGGACACTGACCTTCATTCCATCTAAGTATGTAGCAAAATACGGTGACAGCCAAAGATTATTGAACCTGTTGTTGTTACTCTTTTTGCCCACCTTCCTCGGCATCTTGTCATCATCTTTGTGTCTTGCCTATATCCACATGCATGAAGCAGTATGATCAGATGATGTAGGAGTTGCTCTTACCAGTGGGAAGGGACAAGCCATTAATTTGGAAAGTAACTCTGTAGTCTACAGCCTCATTTATGCAGCACCGTAAGTGACAGATGCCCCCACAGGGAACGTCAGCTTCCAAGGGATCGAGCAGGATGTCGTGCTTCAGCGGCAATGGGTGAACGGTAACGTCCTTTGTGGCTATGCTGTATGAGCTCTTGTACCTAAATATGCAGTGATAAACACCTGGATGGAAGGAAGCAGAGACAGGCTGGTAAAAATCGACTCAATCATTCTAGGCTGGTGTCATTTCACAATGTCTGTTATCGTTGTAGATCATATCCCACTGGAAAAATTTAGGAGTAAAGATACATGTGCATTGTATAGTTATCCCTTCCACGTCATGACTTTCTCCACTGCAGTTTTGATATATCACGGGTCAGCATAAGAAATTAAATCGGAATTTTGGAGGAGTTCTGCAGAAGTCACAGAAAACACGTGAAGGCCAGTAGACAACTCAGAAAAAGTTCAGAAACTCATAAATGCATAAAGTACATGTACAGTATTGTATAATATCAACATAAATTTTATAATAATGTACTGTAAACCCTATGAAAGAAAAAAGAAAAATTTCAGACTTCTTCTCTGGTACAAAGGGTGGGCCAAAAAAATTTCATGAGGATTTTCTAGATTGTGGGGGTGCTGCTTCCTTAACCCCAGCAATATGGAAAGAATAACTGTACTATAATGATAATATGACAAGTGAAATTTACATAACAACTTAAAGTTTACAAATGACTTTACTTATCCATGATGTCCCAAGAGACTTAGGGAAGTTTTAAGCTATGGAAATTAAAAACTTCCATAACCCATAGCTTAAAACTTCACTAAGGCCTTTGAGACATCATGCACTTCCTCATTTGAACCCTGAATCAATAGTGTTAAGTAAGTACTTCAAGTATCATTATCCCTATTTTACAGATGAGGAGACAGAGGCTCAGAGAGGTTAAATGACTTTTCCATGTCCATATAGCTAGCAAGTCAGAGGTGAGATTTGAACCTAAGTGTCTCCTGACTCCCAAGTCGAGCACTTTGTCTCTAATTATAATGATGGTAATAATAAAAACCACTCTAATTTTAATTATAATATCATGACAAACTGGTAAAAATAATCAGAAATGTTATAGGAATAAGTAAACATCACAGAGCAAGAGTAAATGCTGACACCAGGTATAAGTCTCTGGAATCATCAAATATAATTGAAAGTAGCTTATGTTGGAATGCAACGTATAGAACTACAAAGATCTGAGAACAGAACCAAAAGGGTCTACGTGGGAGCTGTCTGCATGAATTCAGTTGACGTTATGTTGATGAAGGAGCATCGAAGAAATGTCTGAATCATGCAGATTAGTTTGCAGGAATAGAGGGGTTTTATAATAAATGTAATTTCATTACCACCAGAGACTATAGAAGGGTAATCTTTAATGAATTTGGATTTAGTGATCAATGTAGAGTTAGGCCTGGAACCCAGATCTTCTTTTGGCCAAGTGAAAAATCCAGTGAATTTTTCACTGTTCCATACTTTTTTTTTTTTTAAGTACCTTTCTGTAGTGAGTTCAAAGAAAATTTGCAATGTAGACATTGTAGCCCAAATAACTTTTACCCAGTGACGTCTGATTGATGGCTTGACTGTCTTCCAAAATCCTCCTTGGAGATTCCTTGTCCTCCCTCCCCCCACTAAAGTACCAATCAGAATTTGCTATGGGGAGCAAACACACTGTTTTTTCCTTTTTTTTCCAAAGCATTTATTTGTGGCTCTGATCCATAGTATCCTTTTGTACTCAAGAACTAAAATACCCCCTCGATGTAGTCTATTTATGGGAGTGAAATATGAACTAATTACATATAGCATTCTTGTTTTTTTTAAACTTGATTTTATTTTAATTAATTTATGTATTTTTATTTTATGGAATAAAACAAGCATTTAAATAACATAGCATAATAAAAATGTGATTGCACATGAAACTGCAAATCTATTATGTACAACTTGCTATTCCTTTTCAATATATAATAAAGTTATTATTTCTTGTTTCCAGTTCAACAGTTCAGTACAATCTGAAGGACATGAACCCTTTAACCAATTTCTTTACCACAGAGGAGTTAAAACACCAAGTGTTCTATTCATATCAAAAGTTATATGTTTGTATACATATACATACATTTATATATATTATATATGTATATAAACACACACAGATATCTCACTGGTTTCCTAGTAGTGCTGTAAAAAGAATTTTCTGCTATAAATATTAATAGCAGCACTTTTTATAGTAGCTTAAAAAGTAGAAACAAAGTATATTCACATCAATTGGGTAATCCACAAAATGCACAGTGCATGAACATAATGTAATATTACTTCTCCATAAAAATGAATAGAAGAATTAATATAATTATTCTTATTCTTATATAATTATATATTATTTGTATAATTTTATATATTCACATTTATATAAATATTATATCATATTGTCATATATTATATAATTATTATATATCTTGTATTATATAATATGTATATTATATGATAATATAGATTATGTTATAATTATTAATATAATTAATATAAGAACATAAGAATTGACACAAAATGAAGCAGCACTTGTAATGCAATATATACAATAACTATAGCAATGTAAATGGAAAGAACAACAAAATGAATACTAGATAATTAGAATGAATAAGCTTGGCCCTTAAGAGGAAATACAAGAATTCTCCTCCTTCCATTCTTTAGGCAGCTAAGTAATAGAGTGGTAGAATACTGCACCTGGAATAAGGAAGACATCAGTTCAAATCTGGTTTTAGATACTTACTAGCTATGGGACCCTGGGTAAGCCATCTCTGTCTGCCTCAATTTCCTCAACTTTAAAATGGGGATCATGATAGCATTTACTTCTGAGGGTTGTTGGGAGGATCAAATGAGATAATATTTAAAAATCACCTGGAACATAGTAAGCGTTTGGTCCTTTCTCCTTGCTTTGCAAATATTTCATATAATGTTAGATTTGATGTTAAGTTTTACTGAATTGCTTTTTTCCCTTTATTTTCTATTTTTTCATTACATGGGATAGCTCTTTGAATGGTATAAATAAAAAGAGATCAATAAAAATAAAACAAATAAAAAACACTTTCCACAAAGTGATATAGTAATAGCAGTAGCTAACATTTACATGATGCTTTTACTATGTTCCAGATACTTTGCTAAGCACTTTACAATTACTATTTCACATATGGCCCTTCCACTCACCATTCCATTCTCTTGTTGCAGTCTCTACTGTAAGCACTGATTCAGCTCTATTGGGATATCTCTTGGTAACATAAAACTTTGGGTTTATTTTGGATCCAGCTGAGGTGTTCCAGAATACTGAGTCATAGCTACTCACATCGCTGATGCATCTTATGGAGAAATTCTGTCCTTCAGAAATAGCAATCGGGTCTGGAGTTACTGTCAGATTGGCTGAAAAAAGCAAAACAAAAATAATGCCAAAAAGATCAGTCTTTTTTTGGTAGTATCCAGAGGGAGAACCTCTAAGGATAAAGATGGCTACAATGGACCATCCTGTCCTTGGTCTGGACAAGATGGGGTCCTCAGTGTTCCGTTGTTTGATTAGTTTCCAGTCTGTTGCTGATAGTGCTTTGAGCCACACATTTCCACCACATCCCCTCGGAACTTGTTCACTTCCTCTTGTGGCTTAGAATTATATCCTGATAATCAGCAGTGACAAAAGGCTGAAAATTCACAGGTGTTGACCTCTAACCCAAGCCACACTGCTAGCCCGCTCATTCCTAGCGTCCTAACATGGTTACGTTAGAGCAGAGGCAAGAGAGACCAAGTGAGTGAGGGAATTCTGAACTCTATTAGATTGAACTGAAGGAATTAGAGGTGTTAGAAGGGAAGGCTGGGGGTGAGGTTAAGTGATGGAGGAAGGGAAATGATCACAGTATTAAAGAGGGGTGATCTGTTTGGTCCCAGAGAGAAGAATTAGAGTCAATGAGTTAATATTATAATTGAACATGGGAAGTACGTTTGAATATTTCGGTTCCACGTAAGGAAAAACTCCCTAACAATTATAGCTGTCTCCAAGTGGAATAGGCTACCTTGCAAGTAGTAAGATTCTCTATGTAGTAGTAATTATTCCTTATTCAATCAATGATATTCCTATATCAATCATCCATCAGCAAATATGTTCTCCCAGTAGTACTATTTATTCCCATAGTCTTTAGGCCTATCTTTAAAAAAACAAAACAAAACAAAACAATTTTTGTTGATAGCTTTCATTTTTATAATTCCAACATATTTATTTATATCCCTTCTTTTATTCCCTCCTAGAGAGTTATTTTTCAATAATGCTTTTATTTAAAGAAAAAAGTTCCACAAAAAAAATGTATCAAATCCTTATGGCTTTGTGAGGAATTAGTTTATTTTTATATTTTTAGTTGGACTGGGTTTTTAAATTTAAAAAATTTTTCTTTTGTTTTTATTTCACCTAGATTTCTTTCTTTTCTTTTTTTTTTTTTTTGAGACAATCAGGATTAAGTGACTTGCCCAGGGTCACACAGCTAGTATGTATCAAGTGTCTGAGGCTGCATTTGAACTCAGGTCCTCTTGATTCCAGAGCTGGTGCTCTATCCACTGTGCCACCTAGCTGCCCCCTTCACCTAGATTTCTACTCATATTGCAACTCATGCTTCCTATCAGAGAGTCATCCCTTATAAAACAGAACTTTTTAGAAAGAAAAAGAGGTATAGTGGCAAAGAATTGGAACCTGAGGGGATCCCCATCAATTGGGGAATGGCTGAACAAGTTATGATATATGAATATAATGAAATACTATTGCACTGTAAGAAATGATGAAGTGGGTGGTTTCAGAAAAACCTTTGATGAAGGGACTCTGAATTTAAGGAGGATCATCAATTTAGCTCAGCCAGGTGGCTCAGTGGATAGAGTACCAGGCTTTGAGTCAGGAAGACTCCTCTTCCTGAATTCAAATTTGGCCTCATACACTTTCGAGCTGTGTGACCCTGTGCAAGTCACTTAACCTGTTTGCCTCAGCTTCCTCATCTGTAAAATGAGCTGGAGAAGGAAATGGCAAACCACTCCAGTATCTTTGCCAAGAAAACCCCAAATGGGGTCACAAAGAGTTAGACAAGATTAAAAATGACTAAACAGCAATATCAATTTAGAGTTGAAAGGAATTTTAGAGGCCATATAGTCAAATCTCCTCATTTTGTGACACATTTTTATACTACCTTGGAAAGGAAGCCTTTCCTGATGCCCTCTTCCCAGACCCTGTCTCCACCACGAGCCTCACCTCCTCCTATGTTGTCTCCCTCTCTCCCCTGCAACGATCCCCCAGTGTAAGCTCTTTTGAGAGCCCCGACTTGCTTCATGACTGTGTTTGCATTCTCCACTCTAAGCACAGTGCCTGGCACATAGTAGGTGCTTAAGAAATGCTTGCTGAAAATGCTGTGAAATTTTAATGACCTTGCTTCATCTCAAAGAAGAGAAGATTCCTTTCTCTGTCTCCCAACACATGCATGCATGCACACACACGTTTGTACACACATGCACATACACATCTACACACACATTCTGCTCCATGTCTATGAAATACTACATGTAATGTCAGAATTGTTTTGATACATTTGTTTGTTTTGTGGAACTTTTTTATTTAAGAAAATCATTATTAAGAGATAACTGTTGAATGCCATTAACATAGGATCATAGCTGAAAGTGAATGCAAAGATCATCTAGTCCAATCTCCTCATTTACAAATGAGGAAACTGAGGCCCTGGGAAGGGAAGCAACTTGTCCAAGCTTACTTTCTAAAGGTAGTTAAGAACTGAAATTCAAACCTGAAGTGAAATAAGTAGAATCAAGAGAATTTTTGATACAGTAACAGCAATATTGTTTAAAGAACAACTGTGAACAACTAGGCTATTTTGAGTATTATAAACACTCAAATAAATTACAAATGATCCATGAAGGAAGACGCTATTTACCTTCAGAGAAAGAACTGATAAATAGAAGTATGTGTAGTATGATTTTACATATATGCATATGTAAATATAGACACACATCTGTGTCTAATGGTAGCCTTCTCTAGTGTGGGGTGGGAAGGGAGAGAGAAAAAAATGCACAGTAGAAATCAAACAAACAAAAAGCAGAAGGGAGCACAGAAAGCCAGGGTAGCTCTGAAAATGATGTGTAATATTTGTTACACATTTTGTTCAAAAAAAGTAAATTGTGAAATGGAGATTCATGGTTTCATATTGGATCCTTTTTTTGTGTTGTGCAATGTACATGGAAACTTTGGGGGTTTTTGGCATTTAAGTTCAAAATGAATAAAAAATTTTAAAAAAAGAAATTCAAATCCATTCTAACACCAGATTGATGGCTCTTCCCACTGTCCCTGTCAGAACTAAAAACTGGTAGTAAATTTGTGAACTCCATTGTTACACCATTAGACTCACCAAAGAGCTCTGACTCCCTCTTCCTACACCTGAAGTTGTGGCTTGATTTCCTTATCTCCTTTCATAGAGAACAAACTATCCCCTGGAACATTTTTTCACATGACATTTTTTTTGGACGGAATCAATGATGTTAGGAAGGATGTAGTTGACTATTGACCCAAAGACAGTCATTACAATTGGCATGGAGAGTCTAACCCTGGAATTCCCATCATCCCAAAGAACAAATTCTTACCCACAGATGTAAATGTAACTTTTATCTTCCTGCTGCTATCAGCTCCATGGCCACTGTGGAACCCGCATACGTAAAATACCTCTGTTCCAGCAGAGCCACTTAGACACTGAGTTCCATCAGCCTTGATGGTGTGTTTACTGCACCTGGAATCTGAGGAGCTGATCCCTGCAAAGAAACAATTGTATGGCTATTACTAATGACTGCCTCATTGATTTAGTTTGAATAGAGGATGGGGACGGGACCTGTCAGTTTCATTGGTGTAGGGAACTCCTAGATGAGGAAATTTTCTCTACCAAAGCTGGTCAGCCCCATCTCCATAACTTAAACTCTTAAAGAAATGACTAGAATAGTAAGAGTGTAAATGTGAGGCACTGTGCCAAGTGGTTTTTTTTTTTGTTTTTTTACAAATATTATCTCATTTGACCCTTACAATAACCCTAGATGTTCAGTCACTTCAGTTGTGTCCAATTCTTTGTGAGCCCATTTGGAATTTTCTTGGCAAAGGTACTGGAGTGGTTTGCCATTTCCTTCACCATCTCATTTTACAGATGAGGAACTAAGGTAAACCAGGTTAAGTGACTTGCCCAGGGTCACAAAGCTAGTAAGTGTCTGAGGCCAAATTTGAACTCAGGAAGATGAGTCTTCTTGACTTCAGGCCCAGCACTCTATCCACTGCACCACCTACCTGTCCCCAATAATCTTAGAAGATAGGTGTTATTATTATCCCCTTTTACAGATAAGGAAACTAAGGCAAACGGAGTTTAAGTAACTTGCCCGGGGTTACTCAGCTAGTAAGTGTTTGATGCCAGATTTGAACTCAAGTCTTCCTGACTCCAGGTCTGGTACTCTATCTACTGTGCTACTTTCCCATAACACATAGTTCAGCTGTAGGACAGAATTTGTGAAATGGACAGTAAATTGTGAAATGGAGATTGATGGTTTCATATTGAATCCTTTTTTGTGTTGTGCAATGTACATGGAAGTTTGGGGGTTTTTTGGCATTTAAGTTCAAAATGAATAAAAAATTAAAAAAAAAAAGAAATTCAAATCCATTCTGACACCAGATTGATGGTTCTTCCCACTGTCCCTGTCAGAACCTGGTTTTTCAATTGTGGTTCTTTCTAACAGCCTTTTTATGCTTCAGTTTTCCCATCTGTACAATAGGGTTAATAACATTTGAACTTTCTATTTCACAGAACTGTTGGGTGGAAATCATGTGCTTTTATAAACTTTGAAATGTTATATAAATGTGAGTTGTTTGTATTGTCCTAGAAGAGCAGGTCAAGTTATTAACAAGTTACACTGGTCATGTCATGTAAAATAATGAAGCTTTCTACTTACCTGGAATGTTGATCAGTCCCTCCTGATTCCATTCAATATTACTTAAATTAAAATCTTTCCCAGCACAACAACTCAAAGATACAGGATTGTTGTCACACATCACCTTCAGGTCTTCTGATGCTTCAATTTCTGTGGAAATCACATTGATTTTTTTCCGGCCCTCATAGTCAAAAATGTCATATGTTAGAGTACAAACATATTCCCCTGAAAAAAAAAATCCAAAACATATTATCTTATTGGTTATGGTTATGTGAATACAAGTCTTTAAAGTAACTGTAGGGGGGAGCTAGGTGGCATAGTGGATAGAGCACTGACTCTGGAGTCAGGAGGACCTGAGTTCAAATCCGGCCTCAGACATTTGACACTTACTAGCTGTGTGACGCTGGACAAGTCACTTAACCCCATTGCCTAGCCCCCCCAAAAAATAAAAATAAAGTAACTGTAGTCACTAGTCACATATTATATCAACACTTAAATATTAAAACAATTCTAAACCTTTGGATATCTTTAAAAATGAAAATGAAAGGCTTCTCAGTTTGGAAAAAATTTTGGATGGTACAGATGGACATTTTGGGTCCTTTGGAGGCCAAAAGTGAAAAGGTAGGGAGATGAGAAGGGAAGGGAGGCAAATCAGGCAAATGAGAAAGATTAATGTTTAATAAAGGGGACAAAAAGGTGCAAGTTGTAAAGCCCTGGGGAAATAGAAAACTTTGGATAGAAAGCCTTACATTTACATGGCAGATTCAAGACCCATGAGCCTAGGTTACACCTAATTACAATTGAGGAGTTAGACTAAAGAAGTGGAATAAAGGTTGTTATCAGAAAAATATACGTTTGGGGTCAGGGGAGGGGGGTGGATAGGAAGATGTTCCAGTCATTTAGTAATATTGAGGGAGAGCTGATCAACAATTTGTGTGATCCACTAATACCACACACACCCCCGCCCGTGTCAGGAGAGCATGAGGAAGGACCCTGGCATGTCAGGTAGACCTCCTGTGGCAGATTTACCAGAGGACATGGGCAAGAGGCTACAAAACATAGTGGCACAGAGAGCCAACCTCAAAGCCAGGAAGCCCTGGATACCGGTCCCACCTCTGACACATCCTAGCTGTGTGAGCCTGGTCAAGTCACTCCCCATAGGGGTCCGTGAAACACAAAATTGATTAATGATCCCTGCCTTAGCTTATAATCCTTGGTTTTGGTCACTATATGGCTACCTCAAACACCATTTGGGATCATTGAATTGCAACATGCAACATTTACTACAAGTTTTTTGTTTTGTATTTTGAATTAAGAAATGAAAGTAATACAAGTGCCAACCAACCAACTCAAAACAACCTAACCCATGAAGAATCTTTATGGTCTCCAACAGATTTGCTTCATTTCCACAGATTCCAGTTTAGTTTTTGGTTCATTTTTGATGGCTTGAAGAATTTTCTTGTTTATCAGCTTTCATCACACACTCCCACCCCAATCAGCTTACTGATCAAGAAGAAAACAAACCTACCAGCATCAATCAGAGAAATGTTACGAATAGTGAGGGTTGATATTGAAATTTGGTGACTCAGAGAAGTGTAAATGGAGAATGTACTGCTGTTCTGAATGTCTGTGGCCCTTTCAAAATGGCGCCAGGTTACGTTTGTTGATTGCACTTCATTTTCACACCTCATCGTCACCGTATCCCCTTCATAGATGATTTCTGGGACAATGGAGAACTTTGTTTCATCTGAAAATCCGGATGAAAGATGTCACAATCAAAACACAAAGAAAAGCAAGGATGCTGAATGGATATGTATTCAATGAGCCCCTGCCTGGGATTTCATTGTTCACACAACTACCAAAAGGTCTCTCTAGTAACTTTGTGGCACATTGCAAATGTAAAACGTGAATAAAATTTGACATACATTCCTCATTTTATTTGCTATAATTGAAGCTGCAAATGATAACACATATGGTTAAAAATAGTAGGAGGATATATATATCAAAGTATTTCACAGATAAAATCAAAGTCACTGATTAATTCTGTTTTTTCCTCCTAACTATTGTTCCTTTAAATTATATTGCATACTTTTCTTTATTTTTGTGCCTTATATTCTGTTCTTGATTTCTGAATTCAGTGGAAGACAAGGGGAGGGTAAGCAAGGACCAGGTAATGGATGTCTTTCTTGTACTGAGCAGTCCTTTACATTAAACTACTCATCATTCATTATCTTGTAAGGGTGAAACTCTAAACAAAATCATTAAAATTAATTTAAAAAAATAATAGAATGTCAGAATAGATGTTAGAATTAATTTAGGTTGGGGCAGCTAGGTGGCACAGTGGATAGAGCACCGGCCCTGGAGTCAGGAGGACCTGAGTTCAAATCCAGCCTCAGACACATAATACTTTCTACCTATGTGACTCTGGGCAAGTCACTTAACCCCAATTGCCTTGCTTAAAAAAAATGTAGGTCAACTTCCTATCCAACGTATGAATTTCTTCCTGTAATACCCTTTTATGGACTTCAATCAAACTCTCCTTAAGTACTTCCAGCAATGAAGAGCTCCCTACTTAGCTAGGTAGCCCATTCCATTTTTGGATAGTTATAATGATCTGTAGACATAGATAAAGATGTGTACATGTACATATACATATTCATATATACACATACATATATATTTATTTTTATATACATACATACATATTTATTTATATATACAGATATGTGTGTATGTATGTATGTCATATACATATATGCATATGTGTGTATTTCAATATTTTAACTTTGGAGACACCCAAAAGAAGTCTAATCTCTTTTCCAAATAGGTTCTTCAAAGCTTTAAGTTCTGTGATCTTCTTAATACTATCCTCCACCCTTCTCTGACACATTTCTGGCCATGAGTTCTGACACATCTTAAAACAGCAGGACAATCTGCTTTCTAAATATTATTAAATGGTCTTTTATAGAACATTGAAACATACATTTAAAATTAGGCACTTAATTACTTAAGCAAGAGACTATCTTTGAATATCACTTACAGTCATTGTTACCATCATTATCATCAACAAAATGATAGCCATTACCATTCTGATTTTAGCAAACACTCCTTATCAGGAATAATTGAGAGAATGGGGTACTCTAGATAACTGAGTTATCACATATGGATTGTCAATTTTAAGAAAATCTGGATATGATAAATATATGCCTATTATATTTTTTCTGAACATTAATTAATCTTTTTTAATGATTCAATATGGCTTGTCAAGACTTCATAGTGCTATGGAGGAGGGTCATCACTCTGAACATTAATTCTTATTATATAGTACTGCTGATGTGGGAAATATAGGAGATTGGACTGAATACATCTTCCTTGCAGGGTGTCCTTTTGTGAACATATTCTTTATATTAGTATTAAAAAACCCCAGGGCATTAAAGCAGAGAATATAGTTCCAGTGATCTGAGTTTACTGGTGATTTGGGTTTCAAATCAATGAAAGTTTACTATGTGGAGGGGAGTCATGATGAGGATGCTTCTACATGAAATCATACTTAATTTTTAAAAATTTTAAGATTAGAGGATCACAGATTTAGAGCTGGATTTGGTATTGAGAGTGCCATATAAGGAACTTCTTCTCTAGGTCTTGATTTATACAATTTTGCATTTTGGGCAGAATTTCATTCTGTTTACAAGAAAATGTAAAGAATTGAAGTTCTTACTATCGGGAGTTGCCTCAAAGGAGAGAGGATCCACTCTATACGTTGAATTGATCAGTGTCTTGACTCGATCGTTTGCTTCATTCATTTGTGTTGGCGTTGGTTTTGTTGCCTGGATATTGTACTTAACAATAATACTTCCAGGCCTGCACAAGCACCAAAATGATAAAAATAATAATAGGTGACATTGACATAGAACTTTAGAGTTAACAAAGCATTCTATACACATCATCCTACCCGATCTTCATAACTCTGTGGATTAGGTCATGGGAATATTATTATCCCTATTTTATAGATGTCAAATTATAGCCTTAGGGAGTAAAGAGAATTGCTCAAGGTCATAGACCACTTGGGTCTAGACCTCAGCTCTTCTCATGCCAAGTCTATCTATCTATCTATCAATCAATCTATCTATCTATCTATCTATCTATCTATTCATCCATCTAATGCATCTATCCATCCATTATCTATCTATCTACCTATCAATCTATCTATCCAACTATCTATCTATCTATTAGTCCATCTAATGCATCTATCCATCCATCCATCTACCTATCAATCTATCAATCTATCTATCTATCTATCTATCTATCTATCTATCTATCTATCTATCTATCTATCTATCTATCTATCTATCTATCTATCTATCCAACCATCTATCTATCTAATGCATCTATCCATCCATCCATTTATCTACCTATCATCTATCTATCTATCTATCCATCCATCTATCTATGTATCCATCCATCCATCTATCTATCTTATCTATCTATCTTACAAATAAGAAAATGGAGGTCCAGATGAAGAAATTACTCGCCCATGGTTACAGAGCTAGGGAGAGTCTGGGCCAGCATTCAAACTTCAAGCGTCCTAACAAAAGATTTGGTGTGCTCTACACTGTACCATGGTTTTCAATTATTTTCCCCATTTTCCAGATGAGATTGAAGCCCAGGGAAATTAAATGCCTTGTCTAGGGACACACACTTAGTCAATTTTGGAGCTAAGATTCAATCCCAGGTGTACTATCTCTAAGTCCAGTATTCTTCTTCTTCTTCTTCACAAGTGAATAATAATATGCTCACCTGAAGCCTGTAATCAGCACTGATTTGAAGCCTGGTAAAATACTGTAACCTTTCCAGAACTGAAAAACAAAAGTAATTGGAAGAGATTTCAGAAGAGAGATTGGACTGCGTTTTTTCCCCAATAATGAGACACTTTGGACATAACAACTTCAAGCTGGAGAAATCCCACAGAATTTTAAGGCCTAATGTCAGTGACCTCTAATTTTCAGTGTCAATAGTAAAGGAATTTCCACCCTTTAATTAGGGTAGCCCTGCTATGAGATTCAAAAAGGCTGGTTGAATGATTTAAAATGCAGAGTTACTAGCTACCTGACATCCCATTAGGAGAAGGTCTGAAGCTCTGATGGAGCCTGCAAGGTCTCTGTGATGTTGCACATGGCTCTGGAGAGCCTCTCTTTCTCCGAATGCTAGCTCTCCCTCCTAGAGAAGCTTCAGCAGGCCTGAGCCCATCCATCAGGTTCTGAAGAAGCCTTCTGTTCTATTAATGGAGTAACTCTCCACCTGGCTTAAGTTACTATGCCCAAGGACACTGCTCTTAACCACGGATTAGGATGACATAGTTTTAGTATCAATGCTGCATGGAAATGTATCAAAAGACTGTGAATCCAATTTGCAGGGTGTGAGAAGACTAGAGCTGTAACTGGGGTGAGGCAATCACAGCCTTACCCGAGGGTATCATAATTTAGAGAGTCCTTGTAACACGTGTTCCTTCAGCAGACAGAAACAACTGCCTAGCATTTAGTAGGAATAATTTGTTGAGATAGCAAGTTACTAGATGGGAGCTTCACCCCCAGGCAAGTGCTTCTCCAACTGTGTTCCATCTTGTACCTTGCTCGCTGGCTATCTCTCCAGTATCTCTCCCTCTGTGTGTGTGGAGTGGGCAGTGGGAGGATAGGAGATGACTGGATCATAGGATCTTACTCGTTATGGGCCCAGTTCATCCCAAGGTGCAAGCTCTTCTCTGAGGTGTCCATCCTATTCCCAAATAAATTTGTCCTAAAAAGGAGACTGGTTTGCCTTCTGTGGCGTTTGCCCTGGACACTAGAATTGCTAGCTCTGGCTCTGCTAATGGGTGCCTAGTAAGTGTCAGGAGCCAATGCTTTGGGATAGCCTATCATTTTGTCCCTTCATATAGCTTTAATGCAGTAAATTAGAATCACTAACTCTTCTGTCTACATCAGTTTTTCTCCCACTTGTAGCTCCATCCTTTTCTTATGGCTGTCCTTACAATGAGGGAGAAATTGTGCCTCCTACTCTAAGAGGGCCTGACAGTCCAATCTTAAATCCCTGTATGTTCTATATTCCTGGTACTATAGCTATACAGTCCAAAGGAGTGTATCTCCTGAGCCTCAGTTATTATAAGCAATACCCAAACTTGCTCTCTATCTGAGGAGAATTTGAAAATGACCTTAACACATGGTGAAAGGGCAGCCCCAGCTTAAGGCAAAGTTATTGAATGTTTGCTTTACTCTGCTCTTTTAGACTGGAAACTGAGACCAGGAGAGAGAATCTGTTGTTTTAAAGGCTCCTCTAAATGGGCACATACCGCTCTTTCCAAATCCGTTTTGTACGACCTATACAGGGCAGAGGAGGAGTTCTTGAGGTCTTCCTGAAAATCCATCTTGAGTCTGACTGACATCCTTAGTATAATATCTTGTGAAATGGAGAAAAAAAGTAAAATAAAATAAAAGTTACATTAAAACTGAATAAAGCAGGGATGGGGGGAGGGTGGGCATTTTTAAATCTCAAGATAATTGTCTACAGTACCGGAATAGAGAATACTAAACAGTCTAGAGAGTTCCTCAGGCTAATGTTAGACATTAGCCAAAACAAAAGAAATAGCAAAGACACAAACTGAGCTACTGCTTACCTTTCAGAATGACTTCCTGACAATAGGGTCCCTTGGCAGGCATTTCCTTGAGGCAGCTACAGTCTTCTGGGGCTGAGCTGTGATAGCTTTGACAAGTGAGGTTACTAAGGCACACTTCTGGGAGCCACTTATATCCACTTTCACAAGAACAAAAAGTTTCATTCCCATTGGGCCTGCATACTAGCATCAACCGAAAAACAGAGGGTAGAGAGTTGTGATTTTTTTTTTGCAATAGGTCAGACATTTCAATAGGATTACTCAAGTACAAGTACAAATTCAAGTACAAATATGTGTGTCTTATGAAATGTAAGCTCCCTGAGGGCAGGGACTCAATTTTTTTTCCCTTCATTTCTTCCTTCCTCCCTTCTTTCCTTTTTTCCTTATTTCCTTCCTTCCTTCTTTCCTTCCTTCCTTCCTCCCCCTCTCTTCCTTCCTTCTTTTCTTCCTTCCTTCTTTCCTTTCTTCTTTCTTTCCTTCCTTTCCTCCTTT